TTTTTATGTGGATGTATGTTTTCAGTCCTTTTGGATATATATTTAGGAGTGACATTTCTGGGTCATAGGGTAATTCTATGTCTAACATTCTGAGGAACTGCCAAACTGTCTTCCAAAGTGGCTGTACCCTTTTACCTTCTCACCAGCAATGTATGAGGTTTCCAATTTCTCTATATCCTTCCCGTTACTGGTTATTGTCAATCTGTTTAAATATAGCCGTCCTAGTGGATGCAAAGTGGTTACTTATTTCCTAGTCTCTCTTGGACACCACTTCTTTTGGGGAATTCTTCTGAACACCCTGAAATCCTTTCTCTTCAGGTTGTGTTAAATGTCCCTGTATTAGTCCGTTTTCACACTGTTGATAAAGACATACCTGAGACTGTGTAATTTATAAAGAAAAAGAGGCTTGGTGGACAGGTCCATATGGCTGGGGAGACCTCACAATCATGGTGGGACTTCTTACCTGACAGTTTCAAGAGAGAATGAGAGAGCCAAGCAAAAGCGGTTTCCCTGTATAAAAACCATCAGATCTTGTGAGACTTATCACTATCATGAGAATAGTATGGGGGAAACTGTCCCCATGGTTCAATTATCTCCCACTGGCTCTCTCTCATAACACATGGGAATTGTGGGAGCTACAATTCAAGACGAGGTTTGGGTGGGAACACAGCCAAACCATATCAGTCCCTCCTGTATATTTCTCAGGCACTCTTTCCTAGTAGCATCCCTCATCACACTGAATCATCATTGTCTATTAACCTTATCTCCTCCATTAGAGTGTGAACTTGTTAGATAGAGTACCAAAATATTCCTGTGGTATTTCCTAGGTTAATACAATGCCTGACACAGTTATTTAGTCTCATCTTTTTGTCGGGAGTGGGATGGAGGGAGACTTATAGGCAAGACTTCATTATTAATCCCCTAAATACAAGAATGAAAATATTCACTAATATTGTTTGTTAGTTGATATCTAGTTAGAAGGAAAAGATGGATTTTTTAGCCTATGTGTTTGACTTTTTCTTTTTATTTTATTTTATTTTATTTTTGAGACGGAGTTT